GGGCAGCAGGTAGCTCATTGTCCTTCCCCAGATCAGATAAGGCTTAGGAAAGTGTTTCCCTGGAGGGCTAGCCTTCCTTACTCAGAACTGAGCAAGAACAGGATAACTCTGGGCAAATTTCAAAACACTTTGCCCTCCCCACCACCGGAAGCCCCAGAGGAATTTTCTCCATTCCTTACAATAAAAACCTGGTGGTAGGGGTGTGTCCTAGAAATGAAACTCCTGAGAAGTGAGTCCCTGCTGTTTTTAACTCTCCACACGGGGCCTCCAGCGATTGCTCGTTTACCGCTTGCGTTCCTGGCAACCACGGCTCCAGCATCAGTTTCTGCTCCCTGTAAACTCTGATTTTCCACGTCAGTCTAATTTTCTGATGAATCTGAGAGTTGTTTTTCAGTGTGTTTAGCTTGTTTCTTGTTGTGAATAAGGGAGTGACAACTTTGAAGCTTTTTACGCATTGGAGCAGAAGCCGCAAGTGCCCTTACGGTTGGTTCTAACCAACAGCAGTCAGCTGTGCCTGTTCTCATAATGGATGATCCTGATGGAGGCCCTTCAACTACAGTATTGTGAAAGGCTGTGAGGCAGAGAAAAGTGCAGTGTATTCTGTTTGATGGTGAGAGATTGAAAAGTTTCCTTTGGGGACCCTGGGAATGAAGCGGGGGGGTTGGTGAGAGAGGAGATGAGCTTAGAAGAGTTTGGTGTCTATTTCTCTCATTCTGTAAGTCTTAAGAGTTCTTCCAAAGCATTTAAAATATATATATACATATATATTTATAATGTATAAGGCTTCCCAGGTGGTGCCAATGCTAAAGAATCTGCTGCCGATACAGGAGACATAAGAGACACGGGTTCAATCCCTGGGTCAGAAAGATCCCCTGGAGGAGGAAATGGCAACCCACTCCAGTATTCTTGCCTGGAAAATTCCATGGACAGAGAGGAACCTGGCGGACTACAGTCCATGGGTCGCCAAGAGTCAGACACAACCAGAACACACGCCATATTTGTATAAGGAGCAAAAGATAATAAAACATGGTGACTAGCTACAAGTTGACAGCCTCATACATGGATTTTATTTCTGGAAGACAAGTGCTCACCCAGAAAATGGCTTGTTGAGGAGTGGGGGGGGTTCTGTTGGCATACATCATGCATTATGGGGCTCACTTGCTCCTTCTGTCTGGGCACGCACACCTTACCAGCCAGCGTCTCCCTTCAGTGCTCAAGACAGAATCACACCCACCCAAGCCTGTGAAGCGTGTGCACTGGTTGCCACCCGCTCACTTCTTCAGCATCATGCCTGTCTGCACCTGGTTTATTTGCACAGTTTCAACACTGACGAGTGAGGAGCCCCTCCACCCGCATCCAGGGACTGGGGTGGACAGCCGTTGAGAGACGTTCATAGACGCTGGCAGGTTGGGCCACCCGATGCTGGTACTAACGACCCTGAGTGCATATCTGTTGTTTTTTAACATCTCCCACCTGTGTATAATTTGCTTTTACTTTCATTATATTTCCTCTGCATCACATTAGGTATTTGGAAAACTCTCAGGAAAAGTATAGCCTTTTTACAGTAACTTTTTTTTTTAATCACTTTTCCTTTAATTCATATGGTGTAACTTTAGGCCCATAGTGGGCTGGCTTCCACCTTGTCATTTTATTGTCCGATTCCACTCGAAGTCACATAGAGGAAATAGCGTATGACTCAGTCACTGCTCTGCACTCTCCAGAAATAACAGACGTTGTGAGTATCCATGATCAAATATAAGCGAGAAAGAACATTTATGCCTACGTGTTCTGTGTCCCCGAAGTCTGCTAGTAGTTTCCCTTCTGGCTCCTCTAAACTTACACCATGAATTGATGAATAATTATCTAGTTGAAAATATATTAATAGTGCCATGACTAATCCACATTTCAGATGAAAACCTTGTGTTCATACAAGTAATACTTTTTAAAATTTTGTTGTTTAACTTTTAAAGCCCATACTGCCTATTGGCTAAACGCATGTATCTTCATACAGTGTTATCCAAAATGTTAGACAGATTTGTTCATGGCTCCTAGAATTAGAGTGATACCACCAATAGCTATTATTTGTATAAATTAGAGAGAAAAATTGATGGTAAACATTGACTTTTTAGTTGTATCAACTTCATGACTTTGAAAAATAGGTATATATTTCAATTTCTTTAATACTGCCATTTAAGAATATAATTTATTCAGATTGGGTCACATTACTATACTTACTATGAGTTTCTTCCCAAAATATTGACTCAAAACCTTAAAGGGAAAAAAGGAAATGATTGATCCATACATGCGGTGCTGTAGTTCCTGGGATCAATACGTAGATTGCTGTTTGGGCGTTTACTTAGCTCTGCTCCATTGGATTCTGGGCTATGCTTTCTCAACTGCTTTTTCTTTTTTCAAAACAATTTTTTTCTTCCCAAATGTAATTTATGAAAAAGTAGGTTACGGAGCTAAGAGTAAAATGTGTGTGATTCCACATCTCAGACATAAAGTAACGCTTGCTTTATTAAGAGTAAACATCTATAGATTGAACATAAAGGCTGTTTTCATTTTCTGTTCCAAGATACTCTTTGGGCAGCTTGCATAATCACAGGAAAGATGTTTTTTAATCCTTTTCATGCCTGAGGACTCAGAAGTTGCTGCTCTGAGGTCGGCATTTAAATTCCACCAACAGTGAGGGACTTAGCAGGGGTAAGGTTAGGTGTTCCGTTCCTGCCCGCAGAGTGAATGGTCTGTTTCACTGGGCCCTTCCATCAGGCTCTGCGGTGGGGAGGGGGCGCAGGCAGGAGCGGGTGCGGGCAGCCGGGGCCCTCAGGTCAGGCTGGAGCACTCGCTTCAGTGGCGCTGGTGTTCTCACAAGCCCAGACTTTTGGTAGCCTGTATCTCGGAGGTCGATGTTATATAAGATTGTAGAAATAAAGTTCTTGACCACATAAAAAAAAAAATTGTGAACACTTTCCTCCTAGCCTGAATCACTCTGACTGATTTAAGCAAAATTATTTTAAGTAGATCTGATTTGCCTGGAATAGAGTGCTTGATTTTCAAATAATTGTTTTTTGTTGTTGTTTATTACTCATCTCCAACTGGAAGTTATTTATGGGTTTAAAATAGATGTGAAGTTTGTTAATATTTCACCTCAGATTATTTCAATACATGAAAGGACATTAATGTAATTATATTCTTGGCCAGATAAAGGCGTCCTTGGTGAAGAGCTCTGGTTTGTGTATTTGTCTCATGTTGAGCTTTAGATGGAGTCGGGATCACTGGAGAGGCACAGTGGGTGCCTTGGTACCTGGCGGGGCCTTCACTCCCATACTTGCCCAGCAGCAGTTCCTGGAATCACATGGTGCCTGGCTTCCGTACCTCTAACCTATTAACCCAGTTATATCCTTCCAGGAGAGTCTCTGTCCCCACCACCCACCATGGTCATTTTCAGCAACACTGTTCATGGTGGGCTTCAGGCTGAGGAGTTGGTTTGTCTGGGACAGCATGGGCGGGAGTGACACTTTACATGTAGATTTGGAGAGCCCCCTGGCACCTGGGCGGAAGCAGATCCAGAAGAGAATGGGCTGGGAGTCATGGGAAATTAGAGCTGGAAAGAGGCGGCGGCTCCTCCGAGCTCCAGCAGGCAGGTTGACACGTGTGGGGCGGGGCGCCTGGGGAGACGCCCCACCTCTGCTGGAGCGGGTCACCTATCGACCACGGACGTCCGTGTCATCCCCACGGGCCCCTCTGCGGGGTAGCAGAGGGCTGCCACGTTTGTCACCCGAGGAAACAGGACGAGTCAGGGCACGCACCCCCAGGCTGGCCCAAGCGATGGCGCCGGGCAGTGAGTCTTTGTCCCTAAGTGTGGCACACAGGCGGGGCATCAGCCCCTAGGACTGGCTGGGTGGCAGCCAGGAGCTGGGATTAGAGAAGACGGTGAGTGCACTGGTAGGCATGCTGAACACGAGGTGCCCGATGGGGTCGGCAGGTGGGCGTGTTCAGGATGGGTTGAATTTCTGAGTCTGAAGATGAGGGAAGAGCCTGGGCTGGGCCTCCTAGGGTCAGATGTCCTCAGGTGTCCCCAGAGCTGGGCATGGTAGAGTCCTTTGCACAGAAGTGCTCTCTGAAGCCCGAGTCCAGTCCGCAGCCTTTCCCTCTTTCCCCATATCTGCCGTAGTCATCCTCTTCATTCTCCCTTGTCAACAGCCATTCAGTTTTGCCCAAAGAGTTCCTTTTCATCTGCCCACTGAACTGTAGGATGGTCCCCCCGGCACGTTGTGTGGTTTGGTATGACTTGGTGGTGGTCCAGGTCACACTGTTGCTCCCAGTTCTTGGATAGCAGACCCATTTGGTTCTTGTAGAGACGTCGGCAGAGGGAGGCTCTTGTTCCCTTCTAGAAGCCGGGAGGCAGCGCTCTGCCACACACCGCAAGAGATGCTCCTGGAGCATCTAGCTGCTTTCTGGAACAACAACTCCTTTGTCCTGGAATATGTAGCCCCAGGAGATAGAACAAGGTCCCTGCTGCAGTTTCCCAGTTTTGTGTTTTTTTTTAGATTTTCCAGAGTGATAGGAGAACTAATATAAGAAAAAGAAAACAACCTTTATCTTTTATGCCTGATAGATAATCAGATTACCCAGGGGATTAGATCAAAAATGAGTCATTTGTTCCTATAATTAGTTACTATAATGACCAAGATAATCTTTTGTAAGAGAATTTAACAATTAAACCTGGTAAGTAGGATTAGGGGATGGGTAAATAGCTAGAGGACAAGGGGAGTTTGAAGACAGAGCTGGTGGGTGTTGTGGAGTGCTGTGTTGCTGTCAGCTGTGTCCATCGGGTGTCCACCCCTGCTCTTGGGCCACAGCACAGTGGGGCCGGGTGCTCACCTGCCCTGGGAGCAGCTTCGGGCTAGACCTCATCCGCCAGTTTGCTTCCCCTCCATCTTTGCAGCACACCACACAGTGGCTTTTCATCCTGACATCCCTGGTTTTGTTCACAGGCCATGTTCTCATAGAGATTTCGAGCATCCACAAGAAACTCAACGAGAGTCTTGATGAAAATGTATGTGAATGGTTTTTCTACTTACCAAATATACTTATTTTATTTTGCTTCAAGTCTCAAACCTGGTCTCAATTTTTCACTTGTGTTCACAGTTCAAAAAATTCCATAAGGAGATTATCTATGAGCTGGAGAAGAAGACAGAGCTTGATGTAAAATATATGAATGTGAGTACAGGGTTTTGCTTCACCTGCCCTGGGTGGAGGGCACCAGGGCGGGGAACCTAGTTTTCAGGGAGGCTGTGCTCGCCTGATGGCCAAGCCTAAGGAGAACGTCCCCACGGTTGGGTCGGCGGCGGTGGCGGCAGCGTGCGTGAAGGCCACAATACCCCGTTAAAACAGCCAGAGCAGCCGCCTGCCTGGTGCTTCGGTAAAACAGGTGCGGCGTTTACCTTCCAGGCGACTCTCAAAAGATACCAAGCAGAACACAGGCATAGATTAGATTCTCTGGAAAAATCGCAAGCTGAATTGAAGAAGATAAGAAGGAAAAGTCAAGGAGGACGAAATCCATTCAAATATGAAAGCAAAGAGATTGAGGTGAACTTTTCAGCACTTTGTTACTTTATTTTGGGGTGGATGGTTTATACAGTTAATGGGAGGCATGCTCATCTCAGTCAGCCTATACTTTATGCATCAGATGTGCTGCTGCTGAAAGTCAAAAATAAGCATTTTGACTTGGTGGGAACTGAAGTTCGCATAGTTCCCCACAGTTAAGAATAATTAGTCAAAAGCACTGGTGTTGTCTCCTGACTTCGGGAGAGTGATAAGCATTGTGTCCCTATTTTATAGATGGGAAAAGTGAGGCTTCGGTTAACTCACATGGTTGGCACTTGGAAATGTGATTTGATATTGAACTTTCTGGTTCCAAAACCCATTATTTTCCAATGAAACATGATCCTGTCCCTGGAGTAAAAGTAATATTTTATGCAAATTGCCAAGTGGAATGCAGGGCCTTTGGCAACTTCTCTCCAGGCATGGATCAGGGACCTTAATGAGAATGTTGATATCTGCTCGGATCAGGTTAGGGCTTTGTTGTTCTGTCTAATGTTTATCTGCCTTCAGCATTCACTCCATTATCAAAATAAATCAGCTGTAAAGATGGCAGGAGATAAGTGTTAGGCTGGGTAGCTGTTTGGTTCTTCATGTCATACTTGTGTAATTATTATTTATTTTCCTAGTATGTAGAAACCATTACTTCTCGCCAGAATGAAATCCAGAAATTTATTGCAGATGGTTGCAAAGAAGCCCTGCTTGAAGAGAAAAGGCGCTTCTGCTTTCTAGTCGACAAACACTGCAGCTTTTCGAGTCAGATACACCATTACCACGCGCAGGTGGGCGCAACAGCAAATGTTCTCCTCATGTTTAAATACCCTTGACAAGATTCGCCTTCCATAGGTGCCCCAGTATAAAGCAATGGGCTCATTTTGCCAAGGAAAGAATTCTAAGGAAATAATTTTTGACCAACTTGAATGAGTAAACTTTTAGAAATGTAGATGAAATGGTCAAATGTTTGCTTACCATGTTGAATTTAGTAACACCCATTCATATTTAATCAATGGCTGAGAAATGGCACTTTTTCCCCTTTTCTCACCCATGAGCCAGCCTCTCTCAGACTCTCCCTGATGCATCTTCAGCATCAGTGTCTTCGCCAGAACCACAGGGTGAGTCCCGCCAGCCCCCAGGTACACCCCACCTGGGTGGTCTGAGAGGCTAGCCTGGGGGTCCATGTAGAAAAATCCTGTCCTAGACCACAGACCCTGTCATAGCCTCAGGACAGCTGGACAAGAGTCCTTTTTCACACTTTTTCACTCCTTTTTCACTCCTCAAGTTGTGTGGGTGTTCCTGACCCCATCAGCCCCGTAACTAGCTTTGTCACCCTCCTTTAGCACATGTAGTTGTGAGGTTATCCTTCTAGGAATCATCACAAAGTATGTCCTAAATTTCCTTCCCTCGTTTTTTGTTGTTTTTTTTTTTAATAAAACTATGGACTCAGTTGGGCTTCTGTAAGCATCCAAAACTAGCAGTGACTGAGGTCAGATATTCACTGTTATTCATGATGAAGTAATTTAGAGCACACTCCATCATGTGAGAAGCGTTCTAAAAGCTTGAATATAGGGCTGCTTCCTTTTTGGGGGAACCTGGCCTTGTATGCATGCATATATCATAGGTTACATATTCCATAAACTTGAAGGAATATTTAGCTACCAAATCTAAATACCCAAGGTCTCAAATTGTTACAGAAAAGAAAAACAAAGATGCTGCATTAGATGATGACATTTGTCCCCAGCGTATCTGTAGTAGCTTCGGCATTGTTTCCATGGTGAGGGTGTCTGCCAGAGGGGGCCAGAAGCAACCTTGAAGCTCTCTGTGACAACACCCCGCCTCCCCCAGCGATGGGGCAACTTGGTCTATTTCCAGAAAGCTCTAGTAGTTGACACAGTCTGCCACACACTTAACCTTGAGTCCCAGTTATGTCTTTCAGCGTGACGCAAGCCAAATTTCCTTCTTTCTCTACCAGAAGTCTCTTCAAGTCTCTGAAAACCGCTTCGGCGCATTCCCTGGTCCCAGCGGTTTCAGTGGCTCCTTGGACATAGCAGCTAAGGCTGCTGGTCCCCTGGCGTGTCCAGGCCACAGGCGGGGACGGGGTGGAGTGAGGGGCAGGGCTTAGGATTCACGTCGACACCCCAGCCCACGCTGATGAACACAGAGTCTAGATGAAAACTGTACAGTTGTTACGAAAATAGTTTCACAAAAGATGCTCTACTTTCCTTTTCCAACTCAATTGCCGCCTAGAAAGGGGGGTTCTCATAAGGGCTCCCGGGAATCCGGGAGTCCAGTCGGGGAAGAGCCAGGCTGTGGGAGGCAGCACAGACACCTCCGCCTCTGGGGCTGGGCGGCTGCAGCCCTGTCCTGCTGCGTCTCTGCCGCCCAGCTGCTGCCTGCCCGAGGCCCCGCCGGCCTGTGGTCAGGACTCCCACTCAGCACTGCCCTGACTCCAGAGAGCCACCACGCTCCGCCTCTGGCCCCCCGGCCCGTAGAGGACCTCAGTCACCCCAGGCGTCTCTCTCTGGGGTTAAGTCCACTCCTGGTCCTCTCGTTCATCAAAGGCGCTTCTCGTGGAAGGGGTGGGAGGAAGACAGAGGGATTGGCAGTTCTCGGGCCCCTGATAAACACGGGGGTTAACACAGATTGCTCCACCTTCCATCTTAGTTCTGAGCTTCTGAACCGTTGACGATCCTTGTATTAGCCTGAAGTCTACCCACTCTGAGGGAGGTGGGAAATCCTTTATAACAGGAGCCTACGTGCTCCTCAGCAAATGAGACATAGCAGATCCTCACAGATGCTTCAGCTACTCACTGAATTTAACTCCTCGCTCCCACACTTCCGGTGGTCAGCCAGGAATCTGAGTAGTAGTTATCATTTGTGTCCGTCCTTCTAGCAATACACATTTATTTGTCTTTGGTTTTGTTTCTTTTGAATTTATAGTCTGCAGAACTGATCAATTCCAAACTGCCTCGGTGGCAAGAAACCTGTGGTGATGTCACCAAAGTGCCAGAGAAAATCATGAACATGATCGAAGAAATTAAGACCCCAGTCTCCACCCCGATGTCCGGAACGCCCCTGCCTTCACCCATGGTCGAGAGAAGCAGCATGGTAAGAACTGGTCGTCACCTCAAGATTTCAGCCGTACCTTTGCTAATAAGATTTCAGCCAGATTTGCACAACAGAGCAAGGCCACCTTTGTCAGTGGAAATCACGGGCCCACCTGTATCACTTCCAGGGCCTACCTTTCCTCACTGCGACTTCACCCTTCCAGCAGCGCAAATACCAGACGTGGCCCCTCTCCCTCCCCGAGGCCGGGCCTGTCCCCAGACACACGCTGTTGCCCGCCACTTCTCCCCCCGCCCAGCGTCAACCGCAGTCCCTGCAGAGATGACCTTGACAGTCTGGCCCGTAACGCAGCAGGCAGGGTGATCCTGGCTGGATCACAAAGGCCTCAACAGGCAGCAGAATGTTAGCGACAGAGGATTCTGAAAACTTTCAGGGAGGGGAAAATGGATTATTTATTACAAAGAAAAGAGAATCCCACTGAAACCAGACTTCTTTTTAGAAAACTCGGTGTCAAAAAGTAATGGACTAATGCACTCAAAATTCTGTGGAAAAATACTTTTAAATGGAGAAGCCTTGAGCCAAGCAGCATTTAAAAGGGAGCCTCGAAATCCACAGAGACAGAAAATAGATGAGTGCTGTTCAAGGGCTAGGGGAAACGGGGATTAACTGCTTTAAAAGGGATGGGGGGGGGCACTTCCCTGGTTGTCCAGTGGTTAAGACTCCGCACTTCCACTGCAGGGGGTGAGGGTTCAATCCCTGGTCAGGGAACTAAGATGCACGGTGCAGCCAAAATAATTAAATAAATAAATAGACAAAAGAAGGGGGTATTCTTAAAATAGTTAAAAACGGGGCATTACCCTGCAAACAAGAGAATTTGGGGAAGAAAATGGAATTTAAAGCATGTAATGCAAAAGAGCCCTGGGGATCAATCTCTAATGCCATTGCTGTGTTATACTCGGATTAAACTAATAAGGAATTTTTCACAGGTTGGGCAAGATTGTGACAGCCTTTCTAAATACCCACCAAAGATCCCCGCAGCTCCTTCAGCCAGAGCCTTGACCAGCCCTTTGATCGATCTGTTTAAGAACCCAGCCACAGTCACACAGAACTCAGAAAGAAAAAATAATTTAACAGGTGAGCTGTTTAGTTGAATTTCCTTTAAAGTACCTTTAAATTTCTTAAATATTTAGGTAAGTGTGCCTTGAGATCTATATCCATAGAGTCACAAAGAGTCAGCCATGACTGAAGCAACTTAGCATGCATGCACGTCGTGAGCTAGAAGTAAATACCTGTGTGTGTGGTAGCACCAGCTCCACACTGGCTCAGGGGAACTCACACCTCCAGACAGGGGTCCAGGTTGATTCTAAAACTGTAAGACATGTTGCTTCAACAGATATGAGTTCTGTATGCTGATAGATGTTTCCATAGAGTAAGCATACTATTGAAAGGTGTTATATTTTCAATACATGCAATATAACAGAACCTCACACTGTGTTCCATATTCACTGGCAGCTGAAATAAAGTCTCCTCTTTTCAGTGAAACAATGAAACAGATGATAGAAATTCATATATCTAAGTTATGGTTCCTAGTCTCATCAGTAGACTTCGATAGAATTGTACTCAGTGTTTTTCATCATCTCTAACAGAGCATGTCATGCTTTCTGAAGGCTTCAGTTTCAACTGTTAACGTTTCTTAAGCCAGCTGACGCGCTCTGAATAAATCAGGAACACGTCTTGTCTGCAGGCATTTCAGATGGCTTCAGCCAGGCTCCACTCTTGCCTGCAGAGTCTTTGGCGTCCAGGACCTCAAGACTGTGGTGGCACTGGGCATGTGGGGGTCTCACAGGCCCCTTGGGGGTGAAGGTCGTGGCAGTCACACAGGGCACTACTAGCGAGAATCCACGGGCTGTCCAGCACGTGCAGCTGTTGGGGAAGAGATGAGACTTTCAGAGTGTCAGCTGCAAAGATGACACTGTAGTCGCTCGCCTTTGAAGACTATGAGTTCTGTGTATAGAACATAAGGTGAACGCATACAGCGCTGTGTGCAACCTGGTCATTCACATGATTCTTTGGTTCTTGTTGGAAATCACTGGATTCGGTGTGACCTTGATAATTAGAGTAGACGGCATGTCAAGCAGAGAGAAGAGTTTACATTGTAGTGTCAAGAATTTCTGAGGACGATGCAGACATAGATTCTGCATTGTTTTATAGTAAATAATAGGCTAGCAAAATTTGAGTGGAAAAAAAGGTATCTAGAAAAAAATGTTTCCATTCCATTTTTTTTTGCGGGGCGTTGGCGTGGGCTGGTAAAGACCAGCCCACGTTTGAGCTGAGACCTGACCTAGTGCAGCGATGGCCGTGGAGGCGGGCCGCCCGCATCGCTGGTTCCGGCTCTGGCGCCGAGGGCGGGGTCGGTACACGGGGGCAGGGGGCGGCGTGCTCAGCACATCCTGCCCCACTTGCGGGTGAGCGGCCACGACTGCAGGGGCGTGTGTCCCCAGAGTCGTCCTCTCTTGTGGCACAGGCCCTGGGCGGTTTGGTCTGAGCTGGTGCCTGACAGCACTTCCGCAGGCTGTGGCGGGCGAGCGGGGCGGGCAGAGGCGTGGGCCTGCTGGCATGGAGCCCTGGCCTCTGTGGGCCGTCCCAAGGGATTCCATGCAGGTGAGGCTGGGCCACGTGGCTTCATCGTCTTGGTCTGAAGGGCCTTCGGCCACAGGGCTCCTCCTCCGAGAGGCCTTGGGCCAGGCTTAGGCGCTATCCCTGTCTGTTGCTGTCTGTCCAGCCACAGGCGGACGTGTGGGAATAGAACCAGTTGGCATCTCAGTGGAATGAGTGTGCTGGTGACATGGGATGGCCGGGTTTCTGGGGCTGGCGCCTTTGAGCTCACCTAGTCATCCTTCTTTGAAAAGTCATCGCTGCCCTGCTCACTTCCGACAGGTTCTTCCTTTGTTTTTTGGGGGGGGAGTTTATAGCTTTTTTTTTTTTTCCATTTATTTTTATTAGTTGGAGGCTAATTACTTTACAACGTTGCAGTGGTTTTTGTCATACATTGAAATGAATTAGCCATGGATTTACATGTATTCCCCATCCTGGTCCCCCCTCCCACCTCCCTCTCCACCCAATCCCCAGGTTCTTCCTTTGACCCCAATTTGCCACGATCTGTTTCCATGGCCTCTGGACTGAACATGGTGAAAAAGCAGAAAGTGAAAACCATCTTTCCGCACACGGCCGGCGCTAACCAGACCTTGCTCAGCTTCGCGCAGGGAGACGTCATCACGCTGCTTATCTCTGAGGAGAAGGACGGCTGGCTATACGGGGAGCACGGCAGTACCAAAATGTGGGTCCCGGGCCGGGCTGTTCACACCCTGAGGGCTCCCGTCGAGGCCATCCTTAAGGGCAGATGAGCGCCTCCACCCCAGCAAGGTCACACTCTAGTGACAGTTCTAGCCTAGTTAACTGCCGTTAGTCTATCCACGTTGTTCCCAAGCTGTTTTCTGTATGTGTGTGCATATAGAGATAAGTTTTTAAAAAATTTTGGCCACACTGCATGGCATGTGGGATCTTAGTTCCCCGACCAGGAATTGAGCCAATGCCCCCTGCACTGAAGCATGGAGTCTTAGCCACTGGACCACCAGGGAAGTCCTATAAATTTGACGTACAGATAAGAGTCACCTCTGAAAGTAAAGGCACTCGTTTTTATGTGACTTCAGATTTCTCAGGATAACGCTCTAAATGAGATCTGGCACATGAGTAGTGTAAATGCCAGTGTCCTCATTCCAGCTGTGTGCACAAGCCTTCCTACAAGGTTAAATTGAGTTTCTGTGTAGATTATTCAGGTACTAAGTTTAAACCAAAATGCAAACAAAAGACACAAAGGGAATCCAAATAGAAATGACGTGTATGTAAGAGGCCTATAATGGGATGTGATGCAAGTTGCCCAGCCGCCCCCGGCCCTGAGCAGTCCCCAAGCCATTCCAGGCGCGTCTGGGTCCGCGTGTCCACCGCCAGCACCCCAGTGAGGTCATCTTCTCCCTGCTCTCCGTCTGCAGGAGGGGCTGGTTCCCGTCGTCCTACACCAAGCTGCTGGAGGAGAACGAGGAGGAGGCCGCGAGCGAGCCGGCGCCAAGGTAGGACCACCTGCGGCTCAGGGCACCCCCCCAGGCGTGGGGGTGGATCTGGACGAGCGGCAGAGCCCACGACGACGCCACAGCCGGGCTGGCCGGAGCGGGGGGGTGCTCCGTGTCTGTTTCCTTCCTGATTTCCTGTCCTGGCGCTATACCCTCTGCTGGGAAGAGATGCCCCCTTCCCGGCCCACGGTCCCTCCCAGTCCTGCGCCCGCCACAGTGAAGTCCCAGGCCACGTGCCCGGCCCGGCTGCCCTGGTGAACACGTGCTCTGGGATGTTCTCCCCCGCTTGCCCTCTTCTCTCCTTCCCTCACCAGCCGCCCGTTTTCAGTCCCCTCTCGGGCCTTTCCTCCGTCCTCTGCTCAGACACAGGGTCCTGGGACCCGCCCTCGTCCTCTTTCCCTCTCGTGCTCCCTGGGCCACCGTGGCTGCTCCCGTGGCTCGAGTCACATCGCGGGGCTTCACTCAGCACGCCTGAGCCAACGTCCCGCCCAGGAATGACTGCCACCGTCGCTCAGGAGCTGGCCGCTTGCACTGACCGCGCCATTTCTTCCTCACACAACCTGTGAGGTCAGGCCCTGGTCGAAAGTTGAGGAAACGGGGGCACAGGGAGCCAGAAGTGATGGAGCCGAGGCAAGACTAATTTGGGCAGGTCTCTCCCAGCCGAAACGGGAGGGTCTGTGTGGGTTAGTTGGCTGTCCCTCGGGTCCTCAGAAACACGTCCCAACAGAACGTGGCATCACCTTGACCACAAGCCACTTCGGCCACGGTGTCTGCCATGTCAGAGCAACCCCCGGCCCATCCCGCTGTCCCCGGGACCGCAGACACCGCCCCAAGTCGTTCCATTACCCTTGCTCATGGCCAGCTGTGTGTCTCTGTCCCTTGCAGAACAGCTCAGCTGCCATTGGCCAAGAAATGAGACTGAGTATCTCTAGGGTGTTAAAATTCTGAGATTTTTAGTTTGGAGCGCTCAGTGCTTTTGCTGTATTTTCTTCTTGAACTGGATCAGGAGTCATCCCCTAATGGGGCTAGGTTTCCTCTCCTTTTGCCAGGTCTTTTAAAGACTCTCTTGTGAGTGTGCATGTACAAGCCAGCAGAAACACTGGCCCTCCAGGACTGTTGCCTGGGAACTCCCGTGAACAGAGGAGCCTGGCGGGTTACAGTCCATGGGGTCACAAAGAGTGGAACGCGACTTAGCGACTGAAAATCAATCAAGAAACACTGCAGTGCTGTGTCTTGCACTGCCCGCCCCACAGTTGTGGATCACTGGTCCATGTAGTTCCGACAGAGGAGACGCGGGATGTCTGGGATGCGGGGCAGGCCTCCTCTAACCCACAGCCTCCGTTCCTGTCTCCAGCTTGGTGCCCGTCCGCAGCGTGAGCACAACGAACTTGGCGGAGAAGAGCAACGTCGTCATCCCCCCGCCGGACTACCTGGAGTGTCTGTCTACGGGAGCAGCCACTGCTGAGAAAGGAGACATCTCCCTGAAGGCTTCTAACCATAAAGCCCCAGCGCCCAAACCAGAAAGCACGCCTCCTGTGAGTAGGGCCCCAGGGGCCCCGACCCTGACGGGCAGGCTCTGGGGTGCAGGGCCCCCTTCCCTCCGAGCAGGAAGGGGGTGACCCTTGGGCGGGGCGCGCGCTTGCTCCCAGGGCCTGCAGATTCTTTGTCACACAGTCTTTCAGCCGCCTTAACTTTTGTCCTCCCCTTGTTTTTATTTCATCTGTAAATGATGGCTGGCACACACGAGGTCCATCGTTTCCCAGACTGTGCCCGCTTTCAAGCTTTCCTTGCCTTTGGTCATGTCTGCAGTCCTTTCGTCCTGTAATCACCTTTCTCTGCACTTCCTTCAGTTTTCATATTGTTTCCTGGAGGAAGACTGAAGTAGTGATCTAATCGCCACACCTTCAGGAACTACCCGGTACATGTGTTATCTGTGATCTTAAGCCTGGGACTGGGACAGAGGCCATGAGTCACTTCATCCATCCCAGCGATGACTCTGTCTTCAAGCCAGGCCCAGTGGGCTCTGGAGGAGCCAGAGATAAACAGTCCGGCTCTTGCTCTGCTGGAGCTTAGGCTCTAGTGATAAGATAAGCAGCAGACAGTGAGAGAGAGACAAATGTGTCAGAGCTGGGAGCTCCGTGGGAGAATGGAGCCAGGTGCTGTGAGGACAGAGGGTGGGGTAACATCTTGGATGGAGGTCAGGGGTCAGTTTTCCTGGGACGCTGGCTCAGTGATGAGGTGGGCTATGTCCACGGCTCTGGAAACATCCAGAAGGCAGAGGTGGCCCGGTGCCCCCACTGCCCCCACCGAGAGCACTGGGCCAGGATCTTAGCCGGGGCAATTCCTGGGGAGCGCTGCCTGCCTCCGCAGCCAGAGCTGTCATCCTGAGGCCGGTGCGGCCACTGAGACAGGGACCAAGGGAGGCGCCTCCCAGATGGGAGGAGCCGGAAGTTTACAGCTCCTGGCGGGGTGTACTCAGCACGAGTCTAGAGGGGGTTTTGTCCTCTTTTCCCACAACATAGATTATACAGCAGAGAAGGCGGAGAGGATGGAGGAAAAGGGGGTGACTGAGAAGGAAGGGGCTGGTCCGCCAGGAGCAGGGACGCGGGTCCCCTGTGCCAGCAGGGAGGGGAGACGGGGGTGGGGGGGTTTGGCTGACGTCTGCTATCTCAGCGCCGAAGGAAAGGTCGCCCTCGGACAGGGCAGGTGGAGTGGCGCTGAGCAGGTGTTCATTGGAGGGACTGATGTTGAAGCTGAAACTCCAATACTTTGACCACCTCGTGCAAAGAGTTGACTCATTGGTAAAGACCCTCCCTAATGCTGAGAAGGATTGAGGGCAGGAGGAGAAGGGGATGAAAGAGGATGAGATGGCTGGATGGCATCACCAACTCAATAGACATAGGTTTGGGTAGACTCCAGGAGTTGGTGATGGACAGGGAGGCCTGGCGTGCTGCGGTTCATGGGGTCGCAAAGAATCGGACACGACTGAGTGACTGGACTGAACTGAACTTCTCTTCCCAGATAAGCACACTGCATGACTCCTTGCTTTCACTGTTATTGCTGCAAATCACTCCAGCTTTCTAACTCCAAAAATTACTTTCAGGAGGCTATGGAGCTTTCCCATTTTGTTGGTGAGAGATGTCAAAACTGGAGACGCTGCTTGAAAGGGCAGATCTGAAATGCTATTTCATTAAAGGGCCTGGTATATTTTAAAACAATACTCAAACTATTTGGAAATGATCTTAAGGCACTTCTAAAAGCATAAAAGTTCCTTTTGCTGGAAAAAAAAATCAACTTACAATTTGCATGTCACAAAATTCAGGATCCAGGCATACAAGGTGTGGGACCTGTTGGTCTGTAGTGCCTTCTGGATTTGATTTTCAACTTTTTTTATGGAAAAATTCAAACACACATGAAAGTGGAAAGAATAATCTACTGATCTGGTCCCCCAGATCAACAATTATTAATTCATTTATAAATCCTGTTTCATCTCCCCTATACAGTCTCAGATCAGCAAAGCCAATTCCAGACTTCATATCATTTCATCTGTAAATATATTAAAGGTCCTCTTTTGTTTCTCACAAAACCAACTATCGTATCATTTAAAATTGACATTAACTCCTGAATATCATCACCTGATCAGTTCAAATTTCTGATGGTCTCATTAAAAATTTCTTGACAGTATTGTTATTTGAATCTGGACCCAGGTCAGCTCCCCACACCGTCGCTGGTGACTGCGTCTCATGACTCGTCTTTTCGTACCTAGAGATCTCCCCCAGTGTCATCTTTCAGTGATCTTTCACTGATCTTTCAGTGTCATCTCTCTGTAGAAAACCCAGGTTACTAGTCCTGGAGGGTGTCCCCAGTCTAGATTTCGCTGGTTACATCCACATGGTATCCTTTATTGAGTTCCCCTTTCTCCCTTGTTTCCAGCCTGGGGTCAGAATCTGCTGCCGTTGTTTGTTGGCTGGTTTTGTGTGGTGGGAGCATTTCATCTGTGGTGGTGGCCAGTCCACCTGCGGTCCAGTCTGGTGGTTTCCTTCTGTGATGATGACCATTGATGATAATGACCACCTGGCTCTGTGACTTGATAAAGGTTGCAAAAGCAGACCTCAGATGCAATGGGTTAGTTTCCAGACCATCTCGATAAAGCAAGTCACATGAACTTTCTGGTTTCCCAGTGCATGTAAGAGTTATGTTTACATACACTGTAGTCTGTTAGACATGCGATAGCATTGTGTCTAAAAAGTAATAAACAGTCATTTTAAAATATTTTATTGATAAAAAATGCCAATTAGCTAAGTTTCAGTGAATCGTAGTAGTGACACCAAAGAGCACCAATCAGCGGTCATGATGACTATGATGATAATGAAAAGCCTGAAATATTGCAAATGTGACACCGAGACATGAAGTGAGCCAATGCCATTGGAAAAATGATGCCAACATACTTGCCACAAACCTTCCGTTTGTAAGGAAAAAAACCAGTATCTGTGAAGCACAGTGAAGTGCAATAAAATGAGGTCTGCCTCTATACTGCCTTTTAAGGTAAAAGAATCTTGCCCTAAAATCATAGCTAACACTGGAATTATAAATGAAAACACATTTTAGCTAACAGCACTGAATTCAGAGGAAAACATGTTTTAACTTTCAGTTTTGTTACCACGTGGATGAAGCTCAATGAAGACGGCATCGGTGTGGTTCTCACCACACTGAATGGATAGTGAAAAAAAATCCTGGCTTTAGATGTCGGCACAGTCTGCGATGATATTCATTATTAAGCATTTGGCAGTTTAAATGAGCTCTAACTTTATTTTTAAACCTCCCTGTTGGCTGGACCATAACAGACTGTCAGAACCAGGAGGCTGTCTTGAAAAGCACGAGGACCAGCTGGGGAGCCTTGTACACTGCGCCCACCTTTTTATTCCTTCCACTTCCTTGAGCAGCAGAGCCTTAAGCACGTATCTCTCTCCCGAGGCCCAGGGTAGCCTGTGGCCACCTCCCTCCATGGCAGGTCCTTGTGGAAGCTGTTGCCTTCCCACCAGGACCGGGTGTGGGACCTAAGCTCACCCCCTGGGCTCCTGTCTATGTTGTCCTGGCAGCCCCCAGGCAGAAGCCCCCTCTCCACCGTGTCCTGTCACCCTCAAGTCAGTAACAAGGTCTCCCAACAAAGCCTGAAACCCGATGGCTTCACTGGTGAATCCTATGAAACATTCAAAGAAGAATGAATGCCAGACCTGCTCCAACTGTCCTTAAAAATGAAGAGGAGAGAACCCCTAACTCATTCTGTGAGGCCAGCACAGCCCTGGCACTCGGGTCAGGCCCCCTTATTTCTGTCTCTCAGGCCGGAAGGCCTTTTTCAGTTTTTTATTTTATTATGATTAGTGGCCTTTAATTTTTGATTTCTTGGAAGAACATTTAACAGCCCTACCTATCTAATGAAAATGCCCGCCGTGTGTGAGTTCCCATGGTGATTAGTTGTTGCTGGTTTTGCAGATGTCAGAATAATGAGTGTTGATGACCACTTTCCTTCATGATGAGTGAAACCTTCCATGAAAAGGGAACAGGCATAGAGTTGATACCTACAGTGAGCTCACAGCAACGTTAGCAGCGAACATTTCCACGGCATCAGACTCCGCTGACCAGCTGAAACCTTTGGTAGACATGGTCAGCGGGCACCTGAAGGCACACCTTGTGAAGAGGGCCTGCAGGTCACACTGGCCTCGTCCGGGTAGCGTTTACTGACGAGCTGGTTACAGTCCAGGCCTGCTCCAGGCTCCAGGGAAGCAGACCAACCCAGAAGTCCAGTCCAGGGAGCGGTGATGAAGAGGCTGTGGAGGAGGTGTAGGGGCAGAGGCGGGGAGGGCTCCGGCTCCAGGGCGGGGCATCCGAAGCGGCTTCCTGGGCGCGAGCGTGTGAGCCGAGTCCTGGAGGAAGGGCTCTGAAGAAGCCCAAGGCCTCGCAGGCGGCAGCACAGGGCCTGGTGCCTGGGTGGCGGCTGACTGCTGTTCCATCTCCGTTGCTGTAGCTTGGGAAGTAATATCTCACGATCCTCTGCAAACTGCCGGAGACAAAACCACCTCTGTCACAGCCTTCGACACCACCGCCTCTGCCCGCCCTGTCCCGTCTATGAGAGGAGTTCCTGCATCTCATCCGTACCGGGTCAGAGCGGCAGCCAAGCTGCGGGGCAGACAGATAACCAGTGCGCCCGCAGGAGAGCCCCAGGGGGCAGGTGCAGACGCCCATTTTTCACCGGGTCCTGATGGCCTCTTGCAAAGACAGGAGGCATAGGGTCAAGTCACCTATGCATCAGTAAACCACCTAGAGAGTTGATGGGTCAGAGAGAAATGTGCCAGAACCATTTTAATCTAGTCACACAGTGAGTAGCCGCCATATAGGACAGCCAGGTAGAGCTCACCCAAAAGAGAACAAGATTCCATGTAGAAACCAACCTGGAAGGTGATGGTCAAGGAGCAGGTCCCACAACAGGCCCATCCAGGAGCACGAGGGCCGGAGCCTCAGCCCTGGGATTCTGTATCTCAGAGGTTCTCATGCCTGGCAGGGCTGGTAACTCATCTTCCCTAAGCTGTTTACAGCAGCTGGTAACACTGCAGAAAATCAGGTTCTATCTCAGCCAAACCTTGGGGTCCACGGAAGCTGGCACAGCAGCTCGACACGATTACGTGTAGATTTTGCACGCACACAGCCACCAAGTGCCATCAGTTACCCATAGTTTAGTTTGAACACCGGGAAGCCTAGGGTACCCCTGGTGGCTGCCTCCCAGCTGCCGTGTCCTGGCTGCTGTGAATAGGGCCGCTGTGGGCACTGGGGTGTATGCAGCTCTTTGAATTACATTCTTATCTGGACAGAAGCCCAAGGGTGCAATTGCTGGATCAGAGGGCAAGTCTGTTTTCAGTTTTTTAAGGACCTTCCACACTCTTCTCCACAGTGACTGCACCATTTTACATCCCCGCCAACAGTGTAGGCAGGCTCCCCTTTCCCCGCACCCTCTCCAGCGTTTGTTATTTGTAGGCATTTTAACAGTGACTATTCTAGTGGGCGGGAGGGTTGTACCTCATGGCAGTTTGGATTTGCATTTCCCTAGTAATCAGAGTGCCGTGTCCGACTCTTTGCGACCCCATGGACTGTAGCCTACCAGGCTCCTCCGTCCATGGGATTCTCCAGGCAAGAATACTGGAGTAGGTTACCATTTCCTTCTCCAGGGGTTCTTCCCAACCCACGGATTGAACCCAGGTCTCCCGCCTTGGAGGCAGACGCTTTAACCTCTGAGCCACCGGGGAAGCCCAGTAATCAGTGATGTTGAGCATCAGTGATGTTGAGCACCTTTTCATGTGCCTATTGGCCATCTGTGTGTCTTCTCTGAAGAAGTGTCTATTTGATAAGTCTTCTGCCCACCTTTGGATTGGGTTGTTTTTGTTATTGCATTGTACAAGCTAGCCAGGTAAGTGGCTCAGACAGTAAAGAATCCACCTGCAATGCAGGAGACCTGGGTTCTATCCCTTGATAAGGAAGATCCCCTGGAGAAGGAAATGGCTACCCACTCCAGTATTCTTGCCCAGAAAATTCCATGGACAGAAGCCCGGCAGCCTTTAGTCCATGGGGTCACAAAGTTGGACACAATTGAGTGGTTAACACTTTCACTTGTATGAGCTATATGTATATTTCAGAAGGCAAGATTTTTTTGGCAGAATCACTTGCAAAATCCTTCTCCCAGACCGTAGGCTGTCTTTCCGCTTTGTTGATGGTTTCCTTTGCTGTGCAAACAGCGTGTAAGTAGGATTAGGTCCCGTTTGTTTTGTTTTTACTTCTATTGCCTTGGGAGACTGAGCTATGAAAGCACTGCTGCTTTTTAGGTGATATGATTTTTGTGATTTTTGTGGCAGAGAATGCCCCGCCTGACGGCCCTGCTGTTAGGACCGGGTGCTGCCAGTGCCCGCCGAGTGCCTTGGTGCCCCCCGTCTGTGCTGCTGTACCAACCGGAGCGGGCTCAAGGGGGCACGGGACGTGCACCAGCGCCGGTGGCTTCAGGCGGCCTGTTAAGGGTCATTTTGCCCTCCTTCCTCGTGGCACGAGCTGTTACTTCTCACCACTTCCCCACCAGGGCTGGACTCGGATGCATCTCCTTCACCGTCTGTTTCTCGAGTGTCGTGTCCCGGATGACATAGCTCGTGAGACCCCGACCGAGCTCGGTTCACAGTTCCGTTGAGCTCCAAGGTTTCTGCCTTGAGGGCAGCGGGGGCGCTGATGTTCAGCAAGCAGGGGCCCTCTCCAAGACGAGGGCGTGTCCTGCCCCGGGGACAGGCAGGAAGGGGGTTTCCGCTACCTGCTCAGCAGGAAGAAGGCTTCCCGGGTGGGAGGACACCCCTACCACCCCTGAGCCACAGCCGGGACTCGGCTCCCCGCCAGGCGCCCTGAGCACGCTTGGGGCTGCACACGGACATCGGGGAATGTCTGTAGAATCGCAAATGAGCCCTCCATCCCCCTGTAACACAGGAACAGCCTATGCCAAGGCCTGCTGGGCAAGCCCCGTGGAAACGTGCTGACAAGCGAGGCAGCTGCTCTGGGCTTCCCCCCGAAGGGGAGACAGGGAATCGGGGTGCCAGGCTGACTGCCCTGGTGGCAGGGTGCCCCCTCAGGATGAGCTGGCTGGCCCCGGGTCCAGGCCAAGGTGTGTCCAGAGGCCCAGACCCTCAGGCACAGGTCAGAAGCAGCCCTGGGCCGCCAGCCTCCCTCCGCCTCGAAGGTCTGTATGTCCAGAGTGGCACAGAGCGTCCCCAGGGAGCGCTGGTCACATGGCGTGACACTGCCCCCTCCTGGGCAGCCAGCTCCGACAGCGAGCCTGTGCGGCAGCCGGAGCAGAGGTCTCGGGGGCGAGGACAGGCTCTCACCTGGCCCCTGGCCATGCCGGACCTGAGCCCCGGGAGCCGGAGGCTGGGCAATTCCCCAAGGTGGAGACGGCGCCTGTGCTGTTCCGTCCGCCCCGACCCCCCGCGCCGGCGGGACTCCCTACAAGCTCAGGTCTCTGGCTGGCAGTTGACAGCAGTCTGTGGGCACCGAAACCCAACAAGTTTCCTTCTGACTTACTGCTCCTCACGGCATCCGTGAGGACCAGGCTCCCGGAAGCCACCCGCGACTGCCAGTCCTCACCTGGACAGACCAGGCGAGCAGCAGCGCCCCCGTGCCCTCCCGCTGGACACGCCCGCGCTCGTGAGGGCCGGCGCCAGGCTCCCCAGCTTCTCTCGTTCTGGCCCCGATTCCTCCGGGGGAATTTAATGTCTCCTCCCCAGTGAATGGACACTGTCGGGAGCTCCCTGCGCTTTCAGCAGCTGTGGGCTTCAGATATCTGTAGCCTCAGGTCTCACTGCAAACTTCCCATAAACGTCCTCTTTTTCTTTCCCACAGAACAATGCAAATGGGTTTGCAAAGCCTCCTTTCCTCAGGTAAGTTAACTTCCTCCCCCAAGGGCCTCTCCCTGCGGCTCATCCCAGGAGGCCTGGGCTCGCTGAACCTTAGTTCCAGACCAGGGACTGACGTGGGGCCCCTTGGCAGTGAAAGTGCGGAGTCCTAACCACTGGCCGCCAGGGAAGCACCCCCGCCGACAGAGGGCGCCCTCCTCCCCGCGGTCCTGCCTCGGGTGCGGGGAGGGCCGTGGTAGGACAGCCTTCCAGGACGGGCCCTCCCTCTGGATCAAGGCAGAAGCAAGCCCATACAGCGCCCAGCGCCCAGCCCCAGAGGACCCCACAGGCCTGAGGCCTCGGATCAGTCCCCTCCGAGTCCAAAACAAAACAATTAGTGCTTACAACAGGCAGCGGGGAGAGAACCATCCCAGAAAGTAACTTTATAATGTTCAGAAAACGCCTGAAATTTATAGAAGTGTATGTTACAGAGCAAGGGTAGTCACTGGCTGTTTTCAAATCAAATCCCTGTCTTGGCGTATTTCTGCCAACATTTTTCCTGCCCCGCCCCCTGCAGTGGAGAGAACCCCTTTGCTACTGTGAAACTCCGCCCGACGGTGACAAATGACCGCTCAGCGCCCATCATCCGATGAGAAGGCGGCTCCAACGTTCTCCTGGTTCCCCACTGGGCTCTCGCTCGGGAAACGATAGGTTTGTGTGTGGCAAGCGCCATCCAGTTGTAAAACTTCACCAGAGAGCGTCTGATTTTGTGTGTATTCCACTTGAGCAAATCAACACATTTTCTAAGTTAACATGGTTGGGTTTACACATTTCTTTAAGATAAATCAGTTTAGTTACAACTCAATCATTTAAAAGTTTTTCCCTATTCTGTTCGAAAATAGTAAATTTGGTTCCAATCCTTATTGTATCACTTTTTGTTTAATGTTCTGATTTTTTTTTTAATAGCCAGAGTAAGGGATAGTGGATGCTTTTGTGACTGGCTTTCTGCACCCAAATGCAAATGAGATCACAGTTTTATAAAGCATGTGCTCTTAAATAGCATTATGTTTAAAGAAGATACTATGTAAATTTGCATCCTAGCATGCAAATAATCTTAAGCAATATAAATTATGAGGATATTGTATAACATTTATTTAACTTTAAAATTTGTTTACTATAGCCCTAGCCAAGATGAAGCATCCCACAGGTTCTCGTGACTTAGCCAGCTCTCGAGCCCTGAGATCCGCCTGGCCCTGTCACAGCCGGGGTCTTAGTACTTGAGTAGTTCTCAGAGGGACTGAGCCTAGGGCCGAGTGACCTCACTAGGATGACCCGCAGAAGCCCGCTGGGCTCACGTGCCTCGTGGGATCTTGGCTCACAGGCCGGCACCTGCCTCGGGAGACTTCACAGACGGGACCAGGCGCCTCTTGCTACACTAGTCAACCACAGTCGCCTCCAGCACCGTTTACTCTGAACCCTCTCAGGGTGCAAGTTTCTCTCCTTTTCAGTCGGGCACTGAGACGCCCAGCAGCCTGAATGAAGCTAGGAGGACCCCTGGGTGCCGGGCAGGGGGAGCATTTCAGCCCAGCCCCACCCCGCGCTGGGCCCTGGCAAGGAGTCAGAGCAGCACTGGGCCAGTCTCTGCTGCGGGCCAGCACCATCTGGAGGTGATGAGGGGCGAGAAAACACGCAGGCCGGCACTGCGCGGGGGTCTTGCTCCTGGTGACAGCTTTTGGTTCGGTCGTGATGCGTTCTTCTCGGAGCGCGAGAAGAACTGAGGGCAGGTAAACAGTGTGGGGCGTGGTGCTCCCGGGGCTGGCCCTGCCCCCCGGCTGGTGGGCCACGCGGGCGGCCCCTCGGTGGCGGGGGTCTGGGGCAGCTGTCCTGCAGTAGCAGCCGTGTCCACCAGCCAGGACGACACTCGGTCCGTCCCGGGGCCGGTTCCTTCCTGCCGTGGGGGCAGGCTCTGGAGGCTCGTGAGTCAGGGGAAGGGGCGGGGGTCCCACACCCGCTCCAGGGGTCGTGTGACTGTGAGGCTGCGGCGCGGGGGTCTTGGGTCCTGGGGTCACCAGGCCGCGCACACCGCCCTGCTCAAAGGACAGAGGCCGGGCCGTGGATCCTGGGCATGGGGTGCGTGCTCTGCGAACGTCAAGGTATCAGGCTTCGTTCTAAGAATAAAAACTTGAAAACAGGCACATTCTTGGAGCTGTGTAAGGGAAGGTCGCCCGAACTGCGTGGTGTTGGGGGGGTTAGGGCCAGAGAGGTGCGCCTGTGTGTTTTCCGTAACAAAACTTAGTGACAGCGTGCACACACTGAAGAAGCAACCAGGTAAACAATGGTATGGATCTCATTTATTTAAAACAGTATTTCTCACCTTTCTCAAATTGAAGACTGCGAAAAATAAAAGCAGCGCTTTATTGAGCCTCCTTCAGCTAGGAGCAGAGCCGCCCGTGTCCTCACTCCGACCCTGTGCCCCTCGCCCGCCCCGTCCACCCGCCTCACTTTACAAAACAGTCCTGAAGCTTCATCAAATAAAGCTATTGTACACGACATTTACATTAGAAAAAGATAGCTGGGTGTGGGAAAGCCAGGTGTGGTGTTCCCTTTAAGTGAAGTTGGCTCCACAGTTGGGGCATCTTCGCTTCCTCAAGGCGAAACAGCAGATGAACCCAAAGGGGAACAAGACGATGGCCAAGAAGATGCCCAGGAAGGTGAAGGAGTCCTCCAGAACCCCGACCCTGCAGAGACAGAGCGGGCGCGCAGGTCAGGGCCCTCGCGGGCCTGAGGCCACCCCGAGGCGCCCCCACCCTCTGCAGCGACCAAGCCTGGGGATGCCGCTCACGGAGGGGACGCCAGGGGCAGCTGCAGAGGAAACGCGCCGCCACAGCGCTCGGGAACAGGCGGCGAAGGCTGGTTCCTATAGACACGTCGCCAAGAACACGAGACCCAAGTCACTTTACAGTATTTTTTCCCACTGTTGGGAAGTTTTGACTTATTTTTCCATTCCCTAGAGGAAAACTCCAAGAATAGTGACAGTTTGGAATCTGTGGGGTTTTTACTGGTGGGAGGAGGGGGCAGCAGGTTTCAGTGAAAGGCTGAGATCACCCAGATTCACACCATGTCACTTACCTTGGGAGGTTTGATCTCAAAGCTCCTCTTTGGAAAAAGTCACATTAACCCTCCACATGCCCAGTCTAAGACCCCTGGGATCGCGAGGGGCCAGCCCCCAACCACATCGCCAAGAGATCACCACCCAGGGTCGGGGTCCTTCTCCAAGACCCCCGAGGCGGGTGGAGGAGCTGCCACACGCCCTCACGGCTGAAGTGAGACCCCCGACGCCAGCCCCCAGCCCCAGAACCGCTTCCCTCCCACCCCGGAGCTGCGGGAGAACCGGGACCCACCCCACCCCACGCCCTCCCCATCTTCCTGAAGCCCCAGAGCCCGCAAACGCCGGAAGGAACCACCTCAAGGAAACACACACTCCAGCAGCCCTGCGACACTGCAGAAAGTCAAATGGGGGTTCTCGGTGAACCCCTGAGGTTCTCTGCCCTCCCCTGGAGGCCCTAGCTGAGTTCAGGCAAGGTCCCAGAAGTCGGCAGCAAAGCCGCCCACGAGCCAGGCCCGCCCCAAGGGGCAGCGCGAGGCTGTCACCACACCTCAGAGCCCCAGCCCGCCCAGACCACAGCTGCCCGGCTCCAGGCCCGCAGCCCAGGAGGCAGGAGCCCCCGCTGAGGAAGCATGAGGGCTGCGGTTGGTGGGGGTGGGGTGCTGCCACAGCCAGGGCCACTTGGCATGGGGCAGGCCGGCGGGCGGGGGCGCCCCTGAGGCCACGAGCGTGGCTGGGGGGCACCTACCCCGCCTTCTCTACCTGGGGCCAAACCCCCAGGGCACAGCCCTCGGTCAGAACATGGGGAAGCAGGGGACAAGGGCCCAGGCCTCCCGGCTGGGTCAGCCACACCAGTTGAGACCTTTCAGGAGAGGCCTGCCCCCCGGGTCACCCACAGACGCTCCCCGAGCCCCACCCAGGCTGGACGCCCCGTCATCTCACTGAAGGCCCAGACTGCTAAGAGGCACAGCCGAGAACCCCATGCGTCCCCCAGGGGGCTCCAGGATTCGCCGGGAGGGCGCGCTGAGGGGGCTGGAGGAGCCTCGCGGCATCCACCTCCCCTGGCGCAGGGGCAGGGCTGGCCCACAGCCTGGTGCTGCATCCACACGAACAGCCCCCTGGCACGTCTCCTGGCCTCTGGGGTCAAACAGCAGCAGCCCACCCCAATAACTGCCCACCCAGACCCAGACCCAGTCCACACCACACAGGGGCGGGCTCGTGGGGTCCTCGGCGGCCTGAGGGAGGGCACAGACATCGCGCCCCAGCCCACGATGCCCGACAGCCCACCCCACGCGCCTCAGCCCGCTGACCGCGGCTTTTTCTGTGCAGATCCTTCCCTCTCTCCAGCCGGAGCAGAGCGGCAGCCCTTCCCACGCCCTTGGTGGGAGTCCAGGTTTGATGGCATGAGCCGCCTCACCCCCCGCAGAGGGCGGCCAGGCCACCCCGGGTCTCGGGAGGAGTTGGGCCGCTCCCCTCGGGCAGGGAGTGAGGCTCTGCTCACATCCAGACCTGACCCTGCCCCACAGCCCCAGGGACCAGGGGCCTCCGAGCCTCACCCAGGGGCGCCCTGAGACCACACCTCTGAACTACAGCCTCAAACACCAAAGGCTCTGAAAGCGGGACTTTTTAACAAAGTTGGTAACAAACTCAACCGGCAGCCACTGTAACCTCAACTACCATGCGGCCGTTTACAGTCCTAACGTGTCCACTCCATAGGAACGCGTGCATCCTGCTGCAAAAACGTTCGCTTCTGACGATGCATGCTGCCTGCCTGTGCCACAAAAGCAGGGTGGCTGTGATTTATTGTTTTTAAAAACCCAGAATCTTTTAAACTGAAAAACTCAGGCTGGTCTCTAGGCCGATCCTGACGCGGCAAGAAGCCCAGGGTACAAACCACCCAGTCCCCGTGGGCCCCCCGCCCATCCTGCCAGCCCCTCCTGAGCAACCTGGCCGCTCCTCCTCCAAGCCCCTCTGGAGCCCCGGTCAGCTCAGCTCTTTACCAACTGGCTCTGAGTCCCAACTGAGCAAGGCCCCGTCCAGGTTCCTCTGCAACGGGGGTGAGGAAGATACAGAAGATGGAGAAATCAGGGAGCTAACTCTAAACACACGCATCTCGCTGCCTCTGACCTCACGGAGAAGCTGGGCGCTCGGCCGGATGGGGCCCCCTCCCCAGGAAGCTGGACCAGAACCTGGTGGGGCTGCGAGCAGCCCAGACCCAGCCAGGGCCCCCACCCTCTGCGCCCCCCACCCTTTGCGCCCCAGCAGCAGGAGCAGCACAAGCAGCACCAGACCAGCTTCCTGGGCAGGGGCCGGAGGACTCCGCCTCTTCCAGGAGCCATGAGCCCAGAGCCAGGTGGGGACACAGCAGGGCGCCCCAAAGCACTGGCAGCCCCCTTCAGAGATCAGGTCACGTCTCATCCCCTCAGGACACACATGCCCCACCCGGGGTCCCAGGGCCCCACTCCAAGCAGGCCTCCCCCGACGACGGGTCTCAGGGCCTCCGGAGGGGGACGGGGGACCCATGAGGCCCGAGGCCCGCAGGGGATCAGGGGACACCAGGCTCAGTCCAGGATGGATGCCCCAGGATGGGGCTGCATGCCCCAGTAGCTCTGCACACCCTGCCCACTGCGGTCAGGGCTGGGCTCAGACCGGGGATGCCCCCTGAGCAGGGGAGGCTGGGGCACCGGCCTCCTCGCTGCCCTGGCCTGCGGGCAGCATCTGACCCCCGCACACCTGTCTCGGCTTCCAAGACCCTGGCCACCCCGGAGCCCCCCGCATCCCTCTGGTCACCCCAGGACCAACACCCGGAGGCGCCCAGCAGGACC